GGTTTCAACTATTTTGTCTTTATAATAAATTCTTGCGGCAGTTTGTTGATTACCGTGTATATTGAATAAATGTTGAAAATAGACTGAAATATCAGCATTCTCATGTATCAGTCGTGCAAACATTTGCCCCGCTTTTAAACTACTCGTTGATGGAGGATCGGAAGCAAAAAGAATTTGTTCATCTGTGATTGTCATAGAGATGACCGTTAATTCACTATTGCTAACAATTGTGATAATTTTGAATATTGTATACATATCAAATAAAACTTCATCATATTTAGGAAACGTTGCTATACTTACTACATTTATCTTTTTCATGTGAGTATCTAAATGAATTTCAAATAAAACCATATGTTCATCTACTCGTTTTGAATATTTTTTTATGGATTTAATGGCAAATTTTCTCGATGTAAATCCTGATAGAAAACCATTAAATAATATTAGATTATCAATATTTATTCGTAAATGTTGAATTTCTGAGTTTAATATCGTCATACTTCTGTAAATTTTGATAATTTGTTCATGTTGATTCTGTTTAAATGATTCATTAGTAAGACAACGACAAAGATCTTTAAGATAATATCGAAATATATTTAAGGATTCAATAGGATCATTGGAAAATAATTTATTTATAAATGGTTGAAATTCTTTATACCAAGTTAGAGGTTGACCACGATAATTGTAGTATTGTTCAAATTCATAAAGTGCCCTAAATCCATCAGCATTAAGACGTCTAGATTGACGACATTTGTTGACTAAATATTGTTTTGCTTTTAATGTTGAAGGCATACTCAATACCATTTCTTTTAGTAACAATAACCATAAGAAAGCATCGGGTTCTTCAGTAACATAATGTATTAATTTTTGATGTTTAATATCATCTGATTGTTCAGTCATTATTTTAAGATTTTCTTCTAGAATTTCTTGGTCAGTGAAAATACCCACAATTTTCCAATATTTTTCCATTAGTGTCTCATGTTTACAACGATTTTTACAACGAATAAATATCGAATTAATTTCATCAAATTCATGAACATCGTTAATAATCGATGATTTCTGTGGACCTGATACAATTAGATAGATTTTTTTATTAATAGTAGACGTTTTTAATTGTTTAAGAAATGTTTGACGTTGATTATAAAAACGAAAAAATTTATTGGTAGATGAAAATCTTTGTATAGTTTTATTCGATGGTTGTATACTTCTGTCAAACCAAATAATGAGTGTCTCTGTAAGTTCTGCATCACATATCTCGGTAAATGTATCTGTTGTCTGAGAACAGTCCGATGATGCTAGTACTTGTTCCATATGTAAACTACAAGGAAATAATACAATGGTAAAGTAAAATAATTCAATCGTATCTTAACGGGTGAACCAGAAATAATGACACACTTTTGTTCTCTTTTCTTCCGAGCACAACTGAGGTTCGAAGATTCCATTCTAAACTCATTCGATAGAGAGTTTTCTGCTCTACAAATATTATCTTCTTTTATTACATGTTTTACATTATTTTAAAAAATAGTACAGAGTACTGACAGGTATAAATATAACTGCGACGGCAAGAACAGGTTATAATTATTTTTGTAGTTGACCTAATTGATTATTTACTAACGCTTCGGTTAGCTATTCATCACAGATATTTTGTGTAAAGAATTCATCTTCATTTAATTAATTTGCATTGAGAAATAAAATTTTTCCTAACATTTTATCACTAAGAACGGATGATCCTGAAATTATGGGGTTATTCATGTATCTATTTTTATCTATATACCGTATGGTTCCAAGACTTCATTCTGACTTCAGAAGATAGAAAATTTTCTGCTCTCCAAAACCCTATAACGTACACTTTCAATGCGTTGTTTGGCTAGTCCTTTTTCTGTTTTTTTTAAAATCCTACATTACCCGAAAGTACAGATTAACTTGTGCACTGAAAGCGTCACAATTTGGGTGATTAAACGAATGAGTAGTGTAGTGTGGATGAAAGCACTCAATCCTTTGAACATTTTTATACCACGTTCTTCTCTCAATTACCACATTATTTCTCGAAAAGTTACACAAAAACAAAAAGCCACCAAAATTTTGATAGGAAATCGCAGTTATACTTTTTACCTGTCAGTACTCTGCACTATTTGTTAAAATAATGAAATAATATGTAATGAAAGACGGTAGAGCAAAAAATTCTCTATTGAATGAGTTTAGAATGGGATCTTCGAACTTCGATTGTGCCCGGAAGAAAAGAGAACAAAAGTGTGTCATTATTTCTGGCTCACCCGTTGTACCTAATGAGCGATGATTTATTAGTTTTTTTATGAAGCTTTTAGTTTATTTCTATTTTACTTTATATAAACATGTATCTTGAATATGTAGATAAATGTTAAATTGTGATTACTTACAGTATTTTCAGATTAATGCTGTTCTGGGCGTGTTGAAACTTATCAAATATAGAAAAATAAATCCTTCTTCAGTTTTTTATTATCTGTATTTTCTAACTTTACTTGTTGAATCTTTTTTTATATAATCTGTCGCCAGTTCTTTCAGTAATGTTGCATGTCTCTCTAAATTCTGTTGATGTCATAGTCATCTGTATTAATTTCTCTGAAACCTATGTAAGAAAAAGAAAATTGATGACTTTTAGGTTTTATTTCATTTCTTATTCTTAAAAAAAAATATGTTTTTAAAAAATCGTCATTTACATATCTTTGATATTTCAGCACGTTCCATGCATCTACTTTCTACTTTTTTGACAAACAATGCTTCATTGGTACACATCTGCGAGTATATATATGCCTATTAACCATACCTATACTCTGTTTCTAAATCATTTATCTTGATTCATCTACACATACATCCAGCTGAATGTGGATATATGACTCAAAATGATCCAAATGTTAGCAGTAGGAATCTGTTGCCATATTTGCTTCAGTACAACAATTTTAAAGGTGCGAAAACTCAAATTCAAGCTAATGTTGGTCCGTTGCAAATTCTTCAAAACAAGGCGCTTTTGACTATTATCGGAATGTATCGTGGTACATGCGTCAAAAAGTTATGAAATAAGCTTGGTAAACCATCGTTAGACAAATAATTCAATAT